AGTGGAGCCCATGCCTTAGCACCTGCCCAATGTGCTTGCTGCAAACAGTTTGGACATTAGAAAGATAAATGACACCTACATCTGGGGGACTCACAAAAATGCTGGCTATCCAGACCCCCCTGAACCTGAACCTCTCCTCACTCTGTCAGGTCTGGATGTATAAGACAGACCAAGCTCTCTCTGTCAAAAGTTATCATCCTCAGGGCAACTGAGCCTCCTGCCTCTTGTGTCTTCTGTAGCCTTGGAGGACATTTCATAAACACCAAGCCAGTCAGCCTCCCTCCCATTTAACCCTGCACTTCCAACTTTTGCTGTTCCCTGAGAGGAAGATGACACCTTCAACAGTCTGAGACAGATAACCATGATTCAAAATTCCCAAAAACTCCTCCAAAGGGTGCGAACTCAAAACCCACCTCTTGGTCTGGACATCAACCACACTGCCTCACCCTGAGCCCTATTGCTGTTAGATTTCAGGGGAAGCACAAACAGGCATCCAGCTGCACAGCCTGATACTCTGTGCTGTCAGCAACACAGCCATACACATTGTCTCAGTCTTCTCCCTCCCACAGCCTGCTGGTATACCTTCCAGGACCTAAATAATGCCTCCTTCTTCCTTTGATTGGCTCCTTTCAGCCAGTCTCTCTGTCTTTAAATAAAAAGACCTAATTTTTGGACCCAAAAGCCAATTGACCTGGACCCAACCTCCCAGAGATTCAAAAACATGTTTACCCTCTTTGGAGGATCCCTCATAGCTGATCACTGCACTTCTGATTGATGATCCCTGAGCCACCTGCTGGAAAGACACAGAGCACTGCTACAATACGTGGCACAAACTGGATACAGGAAATAAACTCCAAAAATTTCTTAGAACTGCTAGATCTATAAAATCTACATACTTGAGTTCACAAAAACAAAGATGTGCACTCAGATTTTCAGCCCCTGGGAGTACCCAATGACCCACCTGTGCAAATACATGGATCCAGTCCCTCAGCTCTGCCTCCTCCCTTTGTCTTTGCACTCTAAAAGCCACTGTCCTTCTAAACAAACAAACAAACAAAAAAACTGGAAAGCTCACCTTCTGCCAAGACCTAACTGTCCAGGTGTCACATGCTGTGCAGAACTTCACCCAGTTTCAAGGACTCACGCAAAAATCCCAGCCTGACTCTTATAGTGATGAATCCACTCAGCCCTGCCACATGCCTGCTCACTGCGTGGGGCCCACTAGACCATGACTGCCTGACATGTTCTAATAAACTGTTTTCAACCTAATCAGCTTTTAAAATGAACCCCTGGCAGATGCTGAGTACACTGTGTTTATGAATGGCATTAACTGTTAGGACAGGCTAGATATCTTGTGGTCACCTTGGATGGAGTTATTTTGGCCAAAGCTTTCCCAGTACAGCTGCTACTTGGAAACCTGCCACCAATGACCTAGAGTCAGACCCACCAATGCCATATGTTTTATAAGCTAAAGACACAGCACTGGCACCCACACTCCTACAGCCAGGTCAGGCCACAACATCCGTGTCACTGGCCCAGACCTCCAACCAACATGACTTAGTGCTTATCTGTACCTACTCAGGCTAGCCAAGCCAAACAGTTTGTAGAGTACTATGGTGAGAAATCAGCCCTAGATAAGGCTACCCTTGGTCACTGGCAACAACAATGGGCCTGCATTTTAGTGCAGCATACAAACCACAGAGTTCTAACAGAGTTAACTAACTCTACAAAGATTTAGCTAAAAGACTCAGTTCTTGGATTTGATCTTTCAGACATTCCTGCACACACACATAATCCAGGTGTATATTAATTACCTCTACAAGTTTCAGAAACCTAGCTTTAGAACCACTGGAGAATTTATCTGGATAGCTCTTCTGAGGCCCACTCCAAAGAGCTGGCACACTCAGGGCCCTGGTCTGGTCACTCCAGACACTGACAGATGATGCACATTTGAAGCTTGAGGACAACCTTCACAGGATTCCAAGTGGTTCCCCAATTCTCCCCCATATGTACTTCATATTGTGTTATCCTGCTTGCTTCTCAGTCTATATCCTCTCACAAGATGCAACCTCTGCCTTGGCCTTGTGGACAGTTACCCCCCACCCAAATGGAAGGCAACCAGTAAGGCTCTTTTCCTTGCTATTTACACAGTTTTGATAGTCAGACTTGTTATTTTAAACTGTCTTTCTAATCTGAAAAGGCTAGGACTATCTCTTATAATTAGAACATACTTATTGTTATTAATTTGCTGGCATTTACCACTAGGGTCTAGATTTTGGCTCTATTTAATTTAACCACAAGAAATCAAATTGGCACAACCCAAGCTCTTGTTGTGTTTTTCCTGGTAAAAACAGGTGCCCAGGAGGTTATTATGTCCACAGTCTGGAATAAACAAGGGCCAATAATTCTCAGATTTGATTTTTTTTTTTTTTTTTTTTGGTACAAGGTCTCACTATGAAGTTCAGACTCATAGCAATCTTCCTGTTTTCAGCCTTCCCGGGCCTGGGATTATAGGGGTGCACCATCACACCTGGGCTCCGACACTGGTTCAGAGCGCTCTGGTGGTGGGGCTGATGTGACATGCTGTACCAGGAATGGAACCCCAGTCCCTGAGCTTGCCTAAGCAGGCAAGTCCACTGAAATATCTCTTCAGCCCTAAGATTTGATATTTACCAAATTATTACCATTCCAAAAAGATAGATGCCCTCTTGTCAAAAAGAGCTCTGGGACCCTATGGGGAACCTGCTCTGATGGCTTTTGGTTTCTATCTGTGTCCTGGAGACATATATGAATGCACAGAGTACAGACACAAAACAATATACTGCCCTTCCTGGATATGTGCTCCATAGTCTCCTATCAAGGGGGGCAATGGTGACAGGAACAGACCACTTTAAGGCCACTCATCAACTAGCTGAACAAAAAGAACAAGGAGGAGTTTGTAATTCCCTAGAAAAAACCTGCTGCTTCTATGCTAATAAGTCTGGAATAGTCTGAGAAGGTCAGCAACAATTACAAGAGAGGTTGATAACCAGGCTCAAGAATGAAACCAGAAACTGGGATTGTTCCAAGATCTATCTGACTTGGGACCATGGTTTGGGACCCTTTTGGACCCCTGACAGTCTTCATAATTGTGCTGATAAGGCCCTGCCTGGTCAATTAAATTACTCACTTTGCTTCAAAACAGATCAGCAGCATGTTTCCAGAGGGGTCACTGCCAGTGTCAAGGATGCTTTCCTCTGATGCTCTGCAGCACTGCTTCCTTAGGGAAGGAGGAGTCAGAAATACCTAAGAAGTAGGTACTTGAAGTACTGTGTGTGTTCAAGAGCTCTGGGTGTAAGTGGGTTCACCAAGAGCAAGGATGTTTATGAGCAACTGTTCCTCGTGATTCTTCCTTTCTTTTCCAACTGTGGATGGAAATGGAGAATCCCCAAGTCTTCGTTATGCTAGCTCAGAGAGAGACTGCACTGAGGCTTGCAGGGGGGGGGAGCCAAAAACCTAAGTCAGTTTAATTTAAAAATACAGAAAAATATTTTTATTAAAAATTATGTCCACAGGGCTGGGAAGATAGCTCAGTGGTCTACGTGCCTGCCTGGAAAGTGCAAGGACTTTGGTTTAATGCCTGGTACCACATGCCATGCAGGCCACCTATCCTGTAATCTCAGCACTGAGGAGGCTGAGACAGGAGTACCACTACAAGTCTGAGCTGTGTACCAAATAAATAAAAAATTATTATTTTTTAAAAGTATATCCACAAAATGTCGAATGAAGTCAAAAGCTAAAGGAAAGGATGGATGAAAGAATTTAAAGGAAAGCTGAGGGAGGCAGAGTTAGTTTGGGGTCATTTTGAAAAGAGATTTTGTGACTGATAAGGAATTTTGAGGAAAGGAGTATTGAAGGATTTTAAAGAGATAAATGAATGGAACATATTTCTATAATGGTTACACTGATTCAAGCCATGTAACTCCTCATGGTGACACTGCAGATAGACTCTGGTAAAAGCTGCCATTATTTTCCAGCTGCAATGCACCTGCTCAAGAGTGACACTCAAAGGTTTGGATTCCATCCCCAGGATGTGCGCGCACCTTCGAGCAATGGCCATTACATGGGACCGGAATATGTGCATGGGCCTGGGAAATAAGGCAGAGAAGGGTCACTGCCTGCTCTAATCTCAATGCCCCGTGGCCACCTGAAGAGTTTCCGCTTCTACTGCTCCCACTGCTTCACTGCAGACGCAAGTGTTCTGGTTCCAAACAGGAGAAAATCAATCCCAGGGCACACAGAAGGTGCTCTGACGCACCTAAAGCAGCAACTTGCACCTGGTGAACTGGAGCTCTTTGTGCTTACAGACCAGGGGACAAATAAGTGAGTTATAACTCCAGATGATACAATGAAACTTGACTTTCATGAAGCATTAGAATCATTAACAGTTGTGACATTTGTGATTGTGGTGTTTCCATGCTAAGAGAAAATGATCAATAAGCAATCTCAGAGACTGTGGCTAGGCAATAGCAAGACAACCCCAGGTTCAAAGCTTTTCAGGCCTGAAGTCTAGCTTTGTGTTTTCAAGCTAACTTGCTAATGAGGTAAGCAAGTTAAGTCAGCTCAGTTTCTAATGAAAGACACTGAAAATCTAGATGGACATGAAGAAAGACACAGTAAACATTGATGATGGTTTTGGGACCAGTTGTGGTAGTGGTGAGTCTAACTCTTGCAGGCTAAGTATTCTGCTTTAAATCTAGAAAATCCCCACAAAATGTCAGGTGTTCAGTGGTGGGGCCCCATAATCCATGTCTAGATTATGGGGCTGCTGTACTTACCAAATGGTTCATCAGTTGAAGCATCAGTGGGTTACTGGGGAGATGTCCCAGAAGGATGTCTCCCCCTCCCAAGTTCCTTTTTCTTTCTCTGCTTCTGGTTTTCCACAGGATGAGTGGTTGTCTACTATCTTTCACCTTGGAGCCAGATGATCATAGACAAAAAATGTGAACTAAAATAAAATTATCTTCCAGCTGTGGCTGTTGGGTTTCCTCTGAGCAAAGAAGAAAGTGACTGAGAACACCAGGAAAACTTTGAATACAGTTTCAATGACCCTAAGTGACACAAGAGCCATTTATGTATTGTTCCTCATATCACAAACTCAAAACTTCTTCTAAATTCAGCCACAACAGAGAAACTCCTGAAGCACCTTGCCCTGGTAGCTGCCTACCGAGAGCAGGTGTCTGGCATTTTGCCACAGAGGGCCCCAAGGCAGTGGAAGTTGGCTGGATCACTGTGCACTCATGAAAGTACAAGGGATGAGAGTTAATTCCCTGGGGCAATTCTCAATCATGGGCAGTAAGAGCTGAAGGCCCTGGGTTCCACATTCTAAGCCACAATGCAGAATACTGTGGGAGGCATGCAGGACACTGCCAGGAAGTCTCAGGGATTCTGCAGCCCGGTGCCCACCTGGTAGCTCAGCAGGAGACTCCCACATGACCTCTGCTCCTCTCTGTGTCCCTTCCCACCCCCCATGTGTGTCCTGGATCTCCTACATCCGAGTCAGTTTACAGATAACACATCCATGTTAATATAGAGATAGTATGTCCAGGTTCATAAAAAGATAATGTGCCTAGGTTCATATAAAAATAGTATGTCCAGGTTCATACAGAAATAATATGTTGTAAAACTAATATGTTAGGGCTGGTGAGCTAGCTCAGCAGACTAGGCGCCTGCTTAGGTAAGTGCAAGGACCAGGGTTTGATCCTGGCACCACACGCTGCACTGGCCCCACCCATGGGTATGCTGAGCCAGCCAAGAGCAGGCATGGTGCTGCACATCTATAATCCCAGAACAGGAAAGGCTGAAAGCAGGAGATTCACTATGAATCTGAGCTGTGTAGTCAGACCGTGTACCAAATACATAAATAATAAAAAATAATAAAGTAATGTATTTAAGGTAGCATTAAGATGCTAAGATAGGCTGGGGAGACAGCTCTGCAGTCGAAGCACTGCGTGACAAGCACAAGGACCCAGGTTCAATCCATGGTGCTGCGTGCCGTTCTAGCCCCCAAACCCTGGGTGCACTGTGCTGGCCACTGAAACTGGGTATGGAGGCACACACCCATAATTGCAGTGTTGGAGAGGCTGAGACAGGAGGGTCACAGAGAGTCTAAGCTGTGAAGCGAGACCCTGTGCCAAATTAATTAATTAATTTAAAATGCTAAGATGTTCAGGTTAGTGTAAGGATGACAAAACTTCTTATTGATTCACTGCAGTTTTCCTAGTTAAGACTGGTCCCTAGCTAGAGAAATAAAGGAAGGGCTTAATGGGGAAGGAGCAAAAACAAAGAGTCTGTACGTTGCTACACACAGAAGTGTTTGAACTTATTTGCCCTCAGTCTTTGTTCCTGTATATTTAACATATTATGATTTATTTCACCATATTAATCTTTTCCTCCTGTTGTGAATCACCTGCTTAGGCAAGCTTAGGCAAGTAATTAATTATTTCAGACAAGAAAAATGAAGAAGCTATTATTCATTGTTAACTAGAGGAGAAGAATTCCGAGGCTTGGGTATAAAGGTAAAGTATCTTGCTGACTTTGACTGCACAATGTGACCACTTGCAAGGTGCCTTCCTAACCTGGAGCACCACTTTTCACAGCCTGAAAGACAGAAATGGCTTCTCTCCAGTGTCTGCATGTTCTCCCAACAGAGTGTTGACTCCTGACACACTTGCTAGAGTGGTCCTTTCCAAATGTAGGTGAGGCCAGCAGGATTCTCCCCTCATGATCCACCACCAGCTTCCCATCACTCAGCTGACACCCAAATCCAGGCTTGGCTCACAAGGCCCTGCATGCAGGGTCTCCAGTCCCTCTTTGATAGCTCTTGAACCAAGGTTTTGCACCTTGCTCTCTCAGTCCAGCTACCTTGGCCCTCTACTGCTGTTGAGTTCACAGCAGCAGCTGTGCTTCCAGAGAGGCTGCTGTTCTGCCTGCGTCACTCTTCGTAGGGACTCATCCCTCCAGTCCTGCAGTCTCCACTGGCTATTCCTTCAGGCCAGCTCCTATGCTCACAGACTGAGTTGTCAGATTTTGAGCACATCCTTATTTTCTGGCATAATCAACTTCTCCAGGCTCACTTTCTCCTTCACTTCCAGCTATACACACATGAGCATCACTGACGATCTTGTCAGCCATAAGAATGACACAGGAAAGGGGCATGTGACAAGCCAGTCTTCATTCTCTCATTCCTATCTGCTCAAGGCAGCAGCTTTCTAGCACAAGGTGAGGGCATCATCCTAATCCCAGGAACCAAAAGGGTCTATGTGAATAATGTTGGGACTCCATTCGTTTATGTGAATGTTAAAATGAATGATGCACACATCCATGAACCTCCTCCTATTACTGTGTGATCTGACCTCCTGGGTTACATTCTTTTGCATTTGAAAGTTCAGACTTGAGAAGAGTTTCTAGAACTCCACAGGAAATCAATACATATTTGACTAGGAAAGGAGAGTGGGGCCATATGATCAACTCATCAATAATTCAGATAGAGGGCCAGCAAGACAGCTCAGCAGTCTAAAGCACCTGTTTAGGCAAGCTTAGGCAAAGCACAAGGATGGGAGTTTGATCCCTGAAATCACATGCCATGCCAACCCTGTCCCAAGGGTGGGCTGAGCTGGCAGAAGAAGAAGAAGAAGAAGAAGAAGAAGGAGAAGGAGGAGGAGGAGGAGGAGGAGGAGGGGAAGAGGAAGAGGAAGAGGAAGAGGAGGAGGAGGAAAAATTCAGATACAAAATATTGAAATACACCTCTCTTTTCCACAGGATAAGTAAGAGAAGGTGTTATAGTTACATTTTACTCATTGCTGGGAAAAAATACCTGACACTTCAATTAAGGAAAGAAAGGTTTATTTAGCTTATAGTTAGTGGAGATTTCAGCCTGGATTTGGCTGGCTGTAAGGCAGAGTAGCATATGGCAAAGGGCAGCCATTTTTGGTGGTGAAAAACAGCAAAGAGCAAAGGGAGGGACAGCAGCTGCAGCTTCTAGAAAGCCTCTCTTCCCTCTTTACACTGTAATGTGGATTATCCACCCCAGGGAAGGGGTAGCCCTCACACAATCTCCATGCCCTCCTCTTTCACAGGATGATGACGTCTACAAAGTAAGGACCCTGGCTGCCTGATGAGTGCTTAGCTAAACTTAAAAACTTCTCAAATTGACACAACGTATGAACCATTATAGAAGGATAACCATAGTAAAAGTTGAAAGTATTTCTGTGATCTGCTGATTCTCAGATAATTAGAACCAAAACATTTTTTTTGAACTTATTACATTTTTCAACACAGCCTCTGATAATAACATGGTAAAAAATAGGAAAGCATATTTCTTATTACTGCTGCTCAACCTCAAGTTTTGACCAGTTTTAAGTTAATTACTTTAACAATATAATGATGAATTGAGGTTTTTAGTGATACAATCATCACAGAGTCTGTGATTGTTATGAAATCATGATTAACTACAAAATTAAAACCACAATGCCAGCTGCTCAACTCAGAGCAGAAAGTGTAATATACGGGAATTATGCTGACAATGTTTATTTTGAATCTGTGGCTATCAAAACATTGATGTCATTTTAGACAACTATGCACAAATTAATTTGTACACCAGTTTAGGAAAATAGCTGCACTTCTTATGAATAGAATGAGTCAAAATATATAAGATTATAATTAGCTTGCTTAGGCGCAGGAGACAAGACTAGTGTTGGTGCACATGAGGTAAATAATGTAAAAGTCTGGCCCTGGCATTCATGTACTGATAACTTAATAATAAAACCACACACAAAAGGCCACTGTGAAAGATCCTCATCTACCATATCAAATTCTTGGAACCTCATCTGTTAAATGAGGACATTAATACTGACTGTATTATAAAATTGCTATTAACAATAGGTGAATTACATATATAAACATACAGTTGAACTGGAGATGTGCTCAGAGGTAGAACATTTGCCTACCACACGCTAGATCCTGGGTTTGAGCCTTAATCCAAATAAATAAATAAATAAATAAAGTTTTGGTGTATATGTGTATTGATAATTATGTACATAGGGAGGTAGGTACATGATCAAGCACTTATATTAACTTTGTTCCAATGGTTAGTCTCAAAAATGTAAAACAGTATTTGATACATTTCAAAAGATCATACATAAATATGACAGTTGAATCTACCTTGAAACCTTTCAGGCATGCAGTTACATTCCTGAGAAATTCATTATGTCTAAAGTTCACATTTATCTTAGAAAATCAGCACTGTCCAGCTTCTGAAATATGTAAGGAACGTGAGACTTGTGCTCCCTATCTAGTGTCACAAATTCTAAGTCGCCATAGTTAGCTGTAAAGTTCTTGCTGTCCATGACTAGACAATAGAATTTGAACAATTTGCATTGATCAAAAAGCTGGAAATTCTGGGCACACAGTGAATCATTTGATTATAGTTACAATTATCTACCTTGCAGTTAGGTCACCTATTTTTATCTTATTTGTCAGACAGAAGCAGGAAAGACTTCTGAAGGTTACTAACTTCAACAATTCTTTTTTCTTGTTTCCTGAGATAAAAATCAACCACATAGCATAGTGTACAGTCAAAGCAAACCTCTCCAGAGTTTTATCTTGGTTTGTTTGTTTGTTTGTTTGTTTGTTTGTTTTTCAGTGTTGGATACTGAACCCAAGGTGTCTTGCATGCCAAGCAAATTCTGCCACTGAGATACATCCTAGCTACTAGTTTTTTAAAATCTATGAATCTACAAATATATAATATTCTATAATTTTGGCTAAGATACATACTCAGATTATTCTACTAAATTCTGTTCTATTTCAAAACTGAGCTATGACTTCTGCCCACCCTGTCTTCCACACAAACAGGACAATTTTGAAAGTAGAGCACCATATAGACTGGGCATTCAGGTCACAGTTCAGAGCAAGCTGAGAAATATCAGGGCTATCTTTGGCACTCTACACTGAAGATTAAATGAACTCCTTCTATTTATTCCATTGAAC